TTTGCTCCTCACTTCAGGAGATGACTTGAGTTTAAATTTTGATTTCCATAAGTAGGGGTGATGTAAATCAGAATCTGAAAATACAGAATCTCCAGTGGGCAGGGCTGGTTCTAACAGATCTAGGGCCATCTGCAAAGCCATTCAATGGGGGCACTCAGTTACAGTGCCCAAGATTCAGCGATGAGCCATCTGCCCCAAACTGCTCTGCCATGCTTGCTGAGGGGAGTGTATTCCTGTGGGGAGCAGAGAGCCATGTGGCCTAGGCAGGGTTGAGACAGAAGATGAGACGTCCTGATTTCCACAGATGACTCAGATTACTAAAACCCCAAAGCTCTCATTCAGCGCAAAGAAGTCTGTATGCCACACTATGTACCCGTAGAGCATGAGTAGGACAAAATGTGAACATTTCAAACTGCTGCCTGTGTGAGACAGGTATCCCTATGGTCAGGGGGCTGCAGATTTGGCAGCATTCCTTGAACCAGTCCAAACAAAGGTTGACAATTTGCTCACGTTACAAAACCAGCACGGCAGGATTCTGCTTTTGAGATGTTCTGGCTTAAACCAGCAGGCGTATAGGTGGCCTGCTCCCATTGAAATCAATAGCAAAACTTCCATTGGCTACCATGGTGCAGGACTGAGATGAGTATCAGTCAAGCTTTATTTTTCTTACGTCAGCCTTTACCACTGGTTACAATACTGAGATACTGCAGGTATTGTAAAGAGAGGAATTGGATCATCATGGCACTGGATAATGCTTCATTTGTGATAAGGCCTAATTCCATTTTCATAAACTGAACTGGCAGTGCTGGGAACCTTCCCAGCAGCTGGGTTTTCCACATTAATTACAAAATAAAACTATAGAAACTCAGGCAAAGAGGGACATTCAGCACATACACCAGTGGAAACAACTTTTTGCAAACTCCACTTCATTTGGCCATGTCATCTCAAATCATAATATTTTGCCCTATCTCGCCTGCCAGAAAACTCTGCTAGAGCACTGAGCTTTCTCAAAGGCATATAAAATAATAATGTTTAAAAGCGAAACTTTCAAAGGAAACCATCTAGTTAATAAAAAAATCCCAATTGTGTGAGGCCTTAATCCTATGCTCCAGCAGTTTTCTGCTAGGGACGTCACAATGGAGCAGAGTTGGCCAGTGAGATTTTCAGGCTAGAAATAGTGTTAAAAGGGCAAGCTTTTTGATGGTTTATGCATTGAAGGCCTGTCTTAACCTGGTTTATCGGTGGCATTTAGCACATCATAATGCTTCAGTCAGCAGAACTTCCATGTTTGTATGGTAGCCCTCTCATTTGAAAGATCGTCCTAATCTCTGAATAGCTATGCACTTCTCTACTGACCTGGGCTAGCTTGAGTGGATTATTTTCCTGACATTGTTCTCTCAACTGATAGAACTATGGGTGGTAAGTTGCCCCTCTTCTAGCTATGCATGCAGTAAGAGTACATTTCCTTTACCTTCTTTTCGACCGGTCTTCAGAGGGCTCTAGGAACGCTCCCTTAGCGTTCTTACAGGACCCCAAGAAAAGGCACTACAGGCAGCAGATAAGCACATGTCACGCTCCTATGGTCTTGGCAGGATCTGTCAGGGATACTGTCTTAAGGAGGCGGTTGAGAGGCCATTTGCGGATCTGGGGCAAAAATTGGGGGTTGGCCCTGCTTTGAGCACTGGTGGTTGGACTAGATGACCTCCTGAGGTCCCTTCCAACCCTGGTATTCTATGATTCTATGAGATACTTTTTGACCTTTTGCATCAATATTTCGGTGCATCTTTCTTTTAGTAGAAAGTCAAGCTTCTTGGCTGCAGGACAAAACGTTGAGTGTTTCTCTGGTGATAAATGGCAACACTAGGAAAACTATTGAGCAGACCCCTTCTGAGTGCCAGGGCACACAGAGAAAAACTCTCCCACATGCCAATAATCATTGCAATCCACAAGTTTAAAGGTAGAAAACTTTCCTTTCAAATTTCAATCTGACATAAAGTGTTATCTGGGAGGCATAATTTGGCTTCGTCTGAAAGATAAAGCCCTGACAATGTAGCTCTGTATGGTTTGTAGATCTAATTTTACTTTTCATTAAAACTTTGGCTTAAATGATTAAAATTTAGTTGGCAATACTTGCTGAGCAGTACCAATGTAAAATATTGGTCAATGGGGGTTAATAATACTTTCCTACTTCAAACGAGGGGAGTAAGGATGAATTCATTTAATGTTGGTGAGGTGCTCAGGTGATAAGGGCCCTTTAAGTAGATATAGATACTGTCCTCTAACATTCCATTACTCCCAGAGAGTTTAAACTTCATCTGTGGTCCAAACACCTTCTATGAATAATTAACCAAGGAATCAGTTATTTCAATTGCTTCACAACCAGGATATTTCATAGCTTCACTTTGGGCTTTGTTTACTCAAGATAATAGATTCTTTAAAAAATAAAAAATAAAGAGAAGTACTGATTAAATACTATGTCACAGGTAAATTATGGGGATTATAAAAGGCCAAGAGAGCACACTGCACAAGAATATATCTATTTCTCAGCTACTTTTTCCAAATCATACACTGTCTATTGTCATCCTATCAGTTGTATGAATAAGCTGTCTCTTGTAAGTTTCAAGCAACATATATATTTTAAAATGAGATCATTGATTTTAAGGGTAATAAAATTATACTACCAATTTGTTCCAATAATTAAAGGAAAAATGCTAAAACAACTAGGACTATATGTATACACAAAGCAAAATGCCATCTTGCTGAGCTTCACTAACTGGACTGTAGATCAAGAGATAACTGTTCAAAAATCCTGCATCACATATATTGAACACCAACACAGTTAGCAAATATGTATACTTATACACCCCATCACCCTCTGCCATCACTAGAGTACCTTACTGTCAAGATGTGTGTAGCACTTTAATGGTGAGGACAAGGGATCAAATCCCAGCCGTATTCAAGGCAATGGCAGTTTTGCCATTGACTTCAGTGGGGCCCAGATTTCACTGAAGGAGTCCAAATTTAATGAGGGTAACACAGTCAGAGAAGGTACTTGAAGAGGCGCAGGATATGATGATCTTCCAGTCATAGAAGCAGGTGAAGCAGTTGATTTTTGCAGCTGTATTTTGAATGGCTTGAAGAAGGAAGGCAATAAGGTCAGAGTGAGTAGGTTGTAGTAGCCAACAAGAGAAATAAACAGGGCCTGGATCTGGGTTTTTGCAATGGAAACAGAAAGAGGGATAGATTGTGGAGATGTTGGACAGGGATAACCAGCAGGATTTAGTGACACTGTCAGTACTGTGGAAGAAAAAGACAGCAGCATGGATAAGAGAGCTATTGAGGATGACACCAAAGTTGTGAATCTAAAAAACAAGGAGGAGAATAGACATCCCCCTATTGATAAATAAAGGACAATTGAGGAGGAAAGATGTCAGTTCCTGACATGTTAAGTGTGAGCTCTCTTCGAACATGTGGTAGTAAATACACAAAGTATTTACTTAAAGATGTCTGCCAGCTGAACACAGTGTATTCAAGCTTCTTGTGTTGCTAAGCACACACTGCTAATTTGCAGTATTAGAGTAGATTTCCTGTTACATTTGTGAAATAATATGTGCTTGGTCAATACTGGCCAGAAAACTAAATCATTGAACAGTAATTTGGATTATAGCTCCTGCCACTGATATTTCATCAACATAAATGTGTTCTGAATACTATCTGGTTAGTTTTAGATAATGAAACTAGACATCTTGTATTATCTTTTAAAGACAGAATGCGGTATCTTGAATGAGGATACGTGTATATGTGGTCCCAGATACACAGTTAACAAGTAGCTGAACACTGACCATATGTTTCTATTAATCTAGACCTGTAAATTCTTCCCATAGTATAATCAGATACACAAAGATCTATCAAAATCAAAATATCAAATCTAGATGTTCTGCTTGCTTTAGTTTGCAGAAATTATATAAAACATTGGTTAAAATGTCTCTTTCAAAGAGTAGCAGAAGTGGTAGGCAAATCACATACTCTGTACCAAAGGTAATTACTGGAAAAACTCTTTGAACTTATTTGTGAATGAGAGATCCTTGAAATGCAATATAGAAGTGGCAAATATCTTAATTATTTGATTATACAGAACTTTGATTTAATTTGTGAGCCACCAGTCTTTTAATACTGATTAGCTCTGAATATCTGCTTTTCTGCACTTCAGACATGTGTGTATTTGTTATGTAAGGTCAATAAACTTTAATAGAAAATTGAGTAAGTTAATAATTACCCATAGAACTCTGGGGAAAAAAAAACAACTAAAGATAGAATTTTGGCTAGATGTTGTGATTGTGAACTGGAAACTAGCTATATAAGCAGTCCTTTTTAAATCCCTAATTTCTGATTGCCTAAACCAATGTGAGAAACAAGTTAATTTTGAAATTAAAAGTAAACAAGCTATTCATAGCATTTGTCACAAGATCCTGTACAATTATTGATGACAAACTGATGACTAGCTGCAATTCAGAATAATATATGTATATACTGGGTATCAGGATCTTCTGTTATCATCCTGTTATGTCAAGTCTTTGTGCCTTAATTTCCCTAGCTGTAAAGTGGGAAATAATGCCTAGTTCAGCAGGTGTTGTGATGAAAAGTTAATGTTTGTAAAGTGTGCTAAAGATGTAAAACTGCTATATGGCTATGAGACAAAGCCCATGAAAGTCAATATGCAGCATTCTGGTGCCGTCAGCAGGCTCTGGATCAATGCTAAGTAATATTAACAACAACTAGGTAGAGAGAGATTTTTCAAAAGCATTTAAGTGAGTAGGACACACAGCTCCTATTGAGTTTCACTGAGACTTGGGCACTGGCTACCCTTCACCTCCCTTGAAAAGCCCAGCACTCATAACTACAAATGGAAGGAATGAAAAAAAAAACAGGTTAATAAAAAGTCACTATTTTTGTTCTAAATGGCTGTATTTTAAACTAAATAAATAATGAAAAAGACAATATCAGTATTTTCCTTTATTTGAAGTTCCATAAAAATATAGAAATCACGGCAAAAAAGGTCATGTATAAAATCAGCATAAATCCATTTCCTCTACATGCAGGAAAAAAGAGCAGTTATCCATTCAAAATTCATGCTTGGGAATGAAATACAAGTCTATGCCATATACATTAAAAATTAAAACCAGAGATATAGACCCCAGTTCAGCAAGGTACTCAAGCATGTGCCAAATTTAAGCACATGAGTATTTTCACTGACTTACCTGGAACTACTCATGTTCTTAAATTAGGCACATGCTTACATACCCTGTGCTGAACAAAGACCATAGTTCTCATTTTCATATTTTTCCCTATTTAAATATAATACAAGTTTCTGTTTAAATTGCTTTCTACATACTTCTTGGTACTTTCCCCCCCGTTTCAAATATATCTTTATTTAAAAAAATTTCAGGCAGAAAATAACATGGTAACACACACCAATGCAATTGGATGAAAATATTGATTAGAAATGGAGTGAAACTGAAAGTAATAATCAGAACCCCCACTGAAGTCCTGTCTCTGCAATCAAAGGCCCCAGTCCTTCACATACTTATTCATGTGCTTCACTTAACCACTGTGAGCAGTCCCATATCTGTCACGTGCATAAGTGTATGCAAGCTCGGGGCCTTAATACGTAGGCACTAAATGGTAATTAACAACACTCGTAATATTTTTACTGTGTCATAACTGTTCCAAAAAGCATTAAGGTGACTTCTCCTATTCACAACACCTTCCAGCTTTGATTTTGAACAAAATTCACTTGGGTTTTCCCAAATTTCATAAAAATAAATATTTACATTCAGATATACATTACTTTCCCCTCCTTCTGAGTAAATGTGTTTCCCTTTTGCCAACATTTAAATATCAAGAAAAAAATGAACTGACTAATGGACAGTTCTGTAAAAAAGTGAGCTCCCTCATTTCTCACCAAATAGTGTATAAGCAAGGCCCCAGTCAGCAGCAGTAAAGTCAGCAGAAATTTTAGCATCAACTTCAGTGGAAGTGGGATCTGGCTCTTGATGTCAAATTTTAACCTGCACCTCCAGTTTTGAGTCTGCAATTTTACAACATGATTTAGGTCATTTACCTGATAGCACCTGCAAATCAGGTCCTATAGATGTCTAAGTGATCTCAATTATGCCTGAATCTCTGGCCCTACATTTCTGCTCACAGTGGTGGAAAGAAGAGGGAGAGCTATGTTTGCTTCATGTGTTATTTCATGACCAATAAAAGTAAGTAAAAATATGGACAATTAAAATGCTTGTGTGCATTACATCAAAGCTGGTGCAACATGTCAAAAAGTAACTGACTTCAGTATTCAGTGGTCTGCAGACAGCTCAGCTGTCTTGCTACTTACACTCCAAACTATGTGCCAAGGTGCAAGCATTGCTTTGAATGACAGGAAATGCTGATTTCACAGCTTCTGGCTATCACTCCTGTGAGTTCCATAAGCAGCATTTCTGGGAACATAACAGGTTTGGCTGCTTGGCTTCTCGGCAGGACTGTGCCCCTCTATTTTACTTTTATTTTGGCTTACATTGTGGCACATTTATTTTGGCACAGTGTGAAAAGAAAATCTTTACAGACAAGATCTGCAAATTATTTAGGTGTCTTGAGGAAATATTGCAACAGAAATTCTCATATTTTTCTCGGTGCCTGGACTGGAATCAGTACAGGGAAAATTTCCTTTCAATTTTATTATGTAAGCATTAAACCATAACTATAACCAAAATTCACAAAGAAGAGAGAAGAATGGCCATATTGGGTCAGACAAAAGGTCCATCTAGCTTAGTATCCTGTCTTCCAATAGTGGCCAATTCCAGGTGCTTCAGAGGGAATGAACAGAACAGGTAATCATCAAGTGATCCATCCCCTGTTGCCCATTCCCAGCTTCTGGCAAACAGAGGCTATGGACACCATCCCTGCCCAATTGAAATTACTTTTTCAAGGTAACATGTTAAATAGTTTTATCTTTTTCAAGTTTATTTTCAAGGCTACGGTATTAAAATGTTTCTTAAAAAGGTAAATACGTAACAGAAAGATGGGGCAGAAATCAAAATTCAGATTAGATGTTGAAAGATCTGGTCTCCTATGTGACGTCAACATATGCCGAACACCGATAAACCTACTATTCTTTGGGGTGCATTCACAGGAACAGGTTTTCCTAGCTCTGAGGTAGTGTGCACCTCACAGCTAGAGATCATTATCTGACTCAAATTATTTCTGAAATTCTGACAAATTCTTCCATTTGTAAATCTGCTAGAGCCTGGGATATTGCATATACAGCCCCCATCTCTGTGGAGAAAAGTTGTTTCTGGTCCTTTTAGATGAAAGGGAATGAAACTGATGAGTAAGGTCCAGAGCTCCTGCAAGACACTTTAGAACACAGGAGACAAACGGTTCATAGAAATTTAGTTTAACAACATTTTTGGTTGGTCATTACAGTGTTTTTCAAGACTTTTCTGGCTTTCTAATTATATCATCTCTGCATGTGGGTGATGGGTTTCGCCTTCATCAGCAATATCTTACTTATGATGAATTATACAGTAGGAGAAGGAAAAAACAAGGAAACATTATTCCTATTAATTGTCCACCATGAAAGCATTGCTATAAAACACTGTAAAGTCAGCTGCTTTTTTTCCCTTGGTCATATTTCTTATTTACAGAAACGACTAAGAAAATTCATGCCATTTTTACAAGCACAAGAAAATTGAGATCTTGAGATACTAAAAAGTTGCCAGTGTTGCTGGTAGAGATATAAATGATGCCTAGCAGAGCTGTCTGAGGGATATGTATTTTATGAGCGAGTATACTGTACAGTGCTGTATTTTGTGACCTTTGAAGACTTACTCAGGGTAGAAGAATCCTCCAAACCTAAGCCTGTTTGGTTAAATGGCGGGTCTGTGATTAGTATACGCTCCTGCCTTCCAGGTCCAGAAATGGTGGTCTGCCCTCTTACGCTTTGCATCCCTGAAACCTCAGCTGGAGTTGTGTAACTAGCCTGCAGCCCTGAGGTGGGTGTAACCACTCTTTCAGTTATCACCACATTCTGCCCCTCTGATAAATCGGGAATGCTTAGCGAGGCCTTTAGATCTGAACTAGGTACAAGCAGCCTCTCCCTCTCCCTCACAACAATGTACTGTGAATCAGGGAAGTCGTGAACTTTTAAGAGTTCAGGCATAGTGTCATCTGACCTAATCAGCCTTTCTGTTACCCGAACATTATGTCCATTTGGCAAGTCAGGAATTTCTAACATGTCCTGCAAACCAGAAGCCGGGGCGAGCACTCTTTCTGTTACAAGAATGCTCTCCTTAAACTGAGGATCAAGAACACTTGTGGTGGGTCGCTCCGTGGGGTCAGCAGCATAGGATGTTTCTGTCACTATAACATTGCTATTAGCCAAGGGATCAACAATAGGCCTAGCTTGTTGCAGGCCAGGCCTAGAGGCATAGGATGTTTCAGTGACCACCTCCCGTGTCACAGTTTCTGAACCTATGCTATTTACTCTACGCACAGGCTCAGGTGGTTGGAAGCCGGTGCCTAAAGAATAGGTATGTTCTGAACTGAAAGCATTTTGCTGATCTAAGAACAGTGGCAATGCATCATTAAGACACAAACCTGACTCATTCATGGCTGGACTAGCATTCTTGTCTTTCAACACATGTGAACTACGCTGGCTGACTTCCAGTTCTGCATGTTTGCCCAGACAGATATCTGCTAGGGTCTTAAATTTATCTCCTAAATCATCCAGAAAACGGTCATCCAAGTCATCTTCAATAAAGCTGCAGCAGCCAATGGAACCATGTGAGGAGTCTGCTTCTTCCTGACAGTAAAGCAAGAGACAGTCTTTCGCTAGTTGAGCTTCATCTTCACTAGCAAAAGCATCAGCTTTCTAAAATAAAGGAAACAAAAGCAAACAAAAACTGTTTAACAATGTTGTTTCAAAACTTTAAAGGGACATTACCAACTTTTAAAAAACAACTGCATTTTTGTTGGAATATTTTTTACTTAATATTGTTATAACAACATCTAAGGCCACATCTAAACTATGAGCGAGGGATGTGATTGCCCTGCTAACATACACATATTTGCACTAGCTCTCATTGTTCTAGGATGAGTATAAATCACAGTGTAGCCACGGTAACACAGGTAGCGACAGCAGAGTCACAAGCTGTACTGATTACAAACCCACCTGAAACTGGTGGGTTTGTACTTGGCACAGCTAAACCATGCCTCCATTGCTGCTACCCATGCAACCCTGTCTACACTGCTATTTATTTTCATCCTACCTCAGGGAGAGCTAGTACAAGTATGTATGCACGAGCAGGGGAATCATAGCCCTATCTTGTAGTACAGACTTACCCTCAACATACTATAACTAAAAGCCAACAGAAGAAAAGAAGATTTCGGTCTTTTTGCGTAGATGGCAGCAGTTGGTGTCAGTCAGTTTGCGGATTCCTCTTTGTAAGTGGATATTTCACAAAGCAATTGATGGTGCGGAGAAAAACATGTAAACCAAATAGGAAAATTTGACTAAATCCCCCCAAATTATCAGCAGGATTCAGAGACAGTAGCTAAAACCAGTTTGTACTCACTAGAGAGTGATTTAAAATTGATAGGGCCCTTAAAAATATTTCACTTTTTTAGAGCAAATCAACTATTATTACACTGGTGTCCATTTATGCTCTTCCTTCCTTCATCTCCCCAAAAATGTATCCCTTCATTCTTTTGGAGATGCGCTAGAAAACTTAATTGGTGCTTTTCATCACTAATTTCTATGATGTATTCAAATCATTCAGTTCATACAAGGTGTAATAGCTGGAAGTGGAAAACAGTGCATTCTGGTTTAAATGTGCAGCATTTGTGTAACACTAAAACCCTGATCCTGCAAAGACTTAATGTGTGTAACTTTACTTGTAGCAATCATCCTATTGAAGCCAAAATAAAGGCACATGGTTATGTCTTTTGCCAGATTGGGCCTAAGGAAAACATGGCAGATTGTGATGACAACATTTATTTTAAAACAAAATTTATATCATATAAACAATCCTGATAATTCTATTTCAAACCTAAAAATATTTTAATGGCCTTTAACAACTTGTTTCCACAAGATTTACTTATTTTAAAAAAATAACATCAATATATTGATGTTCTCAAGCAGGACTCTTACCTCACTGAAGTATTCTCTGAAAAATGCTTCATTTATGCCCACTTCAGGTCCTGTCATCATGGCCCCGCCAGCTCCCATTGCCATGGCCCCGCCAGCTCCCATTGCCATGGCCCCGTCAGCTCCCATTGCCATGGCCCCGTCAGCTCCCATTGCCATGGCCCCGCCAGCTCCCATTGCCATGGCCCCGCCAGCTCCCATTGCCATGGCCCCGCCAGCTGCCATGGCTCCATATTTTGCACCAGAAAGAAGTTGTCTTTGCTCTTCCCATCTCCCACTGCTCATGTTAGCATTACTATAGCGTCCGTCAATATGAGATCGAGAACTGCCTCCTCCTGTAGCAGCTGCCTCTGCACCCATCACTGCTGCTGCTCCACTGCGCACATTTGCTGCTGAGTTGTCCAACACAGTGGGAGCAATGAGGGTTAGCATTGCCTAAAAGAATAATTAAAATACAACATGAAACATGCTCTGTGCTGCTCATGGAATTCTCTAAGCAGTTTGGCTGAGGATCCAGGAGTGAGGTGGTTGGCATGATTGTTTGGTTTGGCATTAGACACTTTGTTACAACGGGCAAAGTGCCCCCTGAAAAAGGGTGCAGACTTTATGACGGTGTAGCCAAGGAAGCTCACAAAAACCATTTTAGGGCTACATTATATCATTCCCTACTAAAACCAATAAGGGGTAAGTAAGAAAATCAGGTTTCAGAGTGGTAGCCCATGTTAGTCTGTATCAGCAAAAACGAGGAATCCTTGTGGCACCTTAGAGACTAACACATTTATTTGGCATAAGCTTTTGTGGGCTAAAACCCACTTCATCAAATGCATGGAGTGGAAAATACAGCATATATATACACACACACACACACACGCCGAACATGAAAAGATGGGGGTTGCCATACCAACTCTAATGAGAAAAATCGATTAAGGTGGGCTATTATCAGCAGGAAAAAAAAACTTTTGTAGTGATAATAAGGATGGCCCATTTCAACCAGTTGACAAGAAGGTGAGAGTAACAGTAGGGGGAAAAATTAAAGCATGGGGAAATAGTTTTTTGTTTGTGTAATGACCCATCCACTCCCTATTCAAGCCTAATTTGATGGTGTCCAGTTTGCAAATTAATTCCAGTTCTGCAGTTTCACATAGGAGTCTGTTTTAGAAGTTTTTTTTGTTGAAGAACTGCCACTTTTAGGTCTGTTATTGAGTGATCAGAGAGAATCAGGAAACTCTAGCGAGCTTACTTGGCGAAATTTTTCAAAATGCTCCTTTCAGTGAAAAAGGCATGTGATCTCATGCCGCACCCTAAACCCTCAGATCCTAGAGCCTCTGCAGGTTCTGCCGGCCCTTCTATGATGCTGCCTGGCCGCCTTCTCTCTCATGGCAGCTTGGCCACATTGCCACTCTCTCTTTCACCAGCAGCTTTTCCAAGGGGGATGCAGGCTCTAAGGAAAAGCTAACTCCCCACTAATTCCACCTGGATATTTACCAGAGTCAGGAGGGATGATGCCAATGTTAGTAATTACTCATCGGTTCTGCACAGACCCCACCTGAGCCTCAGCCTTATGCAGTTGACACACTGGGGCTTTGTGGGGCAGCCAGTTAAATCATATTTTCTCTCCTCCATACCTCACTGAAAGGGAACACTGGGCACTTAAGTTTGGATACCGCCCACAGACTTTAAATTAAGAGGCTATGAAGCTTCCCATTCCACCATTTTTCTGCTGCATTAATACACCCACCGACTGGAATTGACACTTCTTCCCTTGTGAATGGAAATATTTCTCTCTTTTGTGGTTCAGGTACTGGATGCACCCCAGTATTTCTCCCACACTCCCACTCCTCACTTTCCACTCAGAAAAACAGTATCATCATGGCAGATGTGGCAATTTCCTGCAATACATAAATTTAAAATGCCCAAAGGTGTTATTGTGGGCTCGGGATTGTATGTAATTCCATGGGGTAGGATGACCAGAGTTCTTCCAGGAATTAAGAACAGTGAGGAATGATTAGGCAAATTCACCCAGGTTGTAACACCTCCCTAGAAGTACCAACATCTGCAAAGGCTCACATACTGATTCAAACTGGATTCTCCAAAGGCCAACAAAGAAAGGGCTTTTGAATAAATACCCTGAGTTTACACTGACTCTCAGGGCCTTCTTTCTGATCCAGAAAACAGACAGGATCTTTTATCCAAGGTGGTCAGGTAGGAGGGAGAGGGTGCCCAGTCATTGTGGAAGGGTTTGAAGGAGTGACTTTTACCAGAGCTACTACTGGAGCTGTTGGGGATAGGGGGTGGTGAACTCTGGTAGACTTATTAGTAAAAACAATAAAAACCTATACATGTGCTATGTTTTCTCTGGAATGCTTTCACCTTAAGAATATACGTGTATACTTTGGAAAAGCTTGCGGTAACTTGTAACTGTGAGCAACTGCAACTGTCATAGCCTTTGGGAAGAAAGCAAAGGATAGACGCAATCCTGTTAGGCAGTCTGGCTTGCTGGAGAACTCACGGTGTAGATAGAACTATGCAGCTTGGAAAAAACCCTGTTCGGTCTCCACCCAGGAGAGGTGATGGATGGGGAGCCAGAAGGCAAAAGCAAGTGCCACTGATGGACCACGAGGAGGAAATACAGGTGCAGTTGTCATGAACTGTGAGAATCACTATTTGCTTGATTATTTCACTCTTCTTTTCCTTTGCAATTTAGACACTTTGGTTGATATATCTAGAGTGACGTATGGAATTTAGCCACACATTTTTTAATTAATTAATGTTAACATGTGGCTAAATCTCCTGCACTGCTTTGAAATCTCAACCCACAATCTAAAACTGACACCAAGTGAGAAATTGAAATACTTAGGTTAAAAGAAAACAAAGATGATATTGGGCTAAGGTATACTTGCCTTGTCTTCAGGTGCTGCCCCTTCACTGTTCCATTTACGTAACATCTCTTCACTACTGTCAGGTATTGCTGTGAATCCTTTAGCACCTGATCCACAATGGCAAAACAGCAGTAAGAGTGGCACAACTGTAGGGGAACACAATGTATCATTAAATGTCCAATAACTAGAGCTCAAATCATGTTTAGGTAACTGTCTGTAGTTAGGTAATAAACATCTGGTCTGTCTGCGCATGCACACAGGGTAGATGCAAGTTTTCCAGAAATTTAGCGATTTAATGCAGAGTTTATTTAGTTATGGTCAATAGATAATGAATGTGTACTATGGCTCCGATTCTGCAAATACTCATGCATGTGCTTAACTATGTACATATAAAGTAGTCCCACTAAAGTCACCACCTTGCCGAACTGAGCCCTAAATACCATTAAGTCCACCTCCTCCAGTTTTTGTTTTTTTTTTGTTTTTTTTTGCTATAAATAGCTGACTCAATATACAGAACATCTTGCCACTGCCTAAGTAGAGGATTCCACCCCAGTCTGCTTGTGTTTTCAGCTGGGTTACTGGAGTAAGGAAACAGAGTTGACACTTTGAAGAGGGGCCTTTGAAGAGGGGAGGCAGCAGCCATGGTGACATTATTTGAAGGGAATGGGAAGGCTCTGGTGGTGATTCAGTGGACCATAAGAGGAGCCCTAAGAAAAACCAAAAGGATTTCTCAATGCTTTATTATCCTCCTTTAGCATATCATAAGCAAATGTTAATTGTTTGTTTAAAAGCCACTGGAAAGACTGAAACAGTTTCCTATTGCCGCATCCTAGTTCTAATACTTCCAGGGTGAAATCCTGGCGCCACTGAAAGTCAATGGGAACGGTGCCATTGACTCCAGTGGGTTCATGATTTCACCCACAGAGTATACTTAGATTATAAACCCCTTGGGGTAGGGACCATTGCTTCTTTGGTGTCTTGTATTCCATAGAACATGCAGTCAGTGCTTAAGAAATAATATAAAACAGTTACTTACGTAGCAATAATAAAATTGCCAAGATAATTAGTGCAATTGCTCCAGCTCCCAGCCCAACTGAAGAGTTGATTAGTCTGTCTTGACAGGAACCCCCATTCACACAGGTACAAACTGTCAGTGTAAGGATCTGCTTTTCAGCACAGCTTAAACCTTGCATATCTTTCACTAAAATTTGAACTTTATTTGTGCTGGGCTTTACATCTTGTGGTAGTAACAGCTGCATGGTTGTTGCTTTGTGGGGACAGGACCGGGGTAAAGGAAAAACATAAATCAGTGAAACAAGAACTGGGTGGAGAGAAAGTTAGTAATCACTCTCTAACTAAAGAAAAACAAACAAAAAATTCTACCAATGCAATAGAATTGACTTTAATTCACAACCAATTGCTATTTTCATCATATAATTCACACTCTGGCAAAAAAGAACCAATGTTTATTTCTAATTTCTATTGACTGTGGAAAAGCCTTGTTAAAATTTGAATTGTCCGTATGAACCCCCCCAAAATACTATTTGTCTTTGTAACAAGTTACAGTTGTCTAGTCCTCTCCCACTTTCAGAAGGTAAGAAGGGCCCTGACATAATGGAAACACTGCAATTGTGCTGAGAAGGTGGGAGCAGGTTCCTAGGAGTATCCCTATAGGTATAATGAAGAACAGCTCTGCAACATGTCTGTGTGCATTGATTTTTTGGGGTGGGTATGGGAATCAAAGGATTCTCCCTCATTCCCTGATTAGATGTGAGCACAAGTGCTTGGGAGGATTTCTCCCCAGCCATGCCCTCATGGAGATCGTGTATTATTTGGGTTGGGCACTGCGGGACTGATTCTGGATAATACGGACATGTTTAACTTACCATCCAAAACAATGTAGCTGCAACTATGTGGGCTGCAGCAAATGTGAAGGCTGTAAACGCTAGTTAGGCAGCAAGCAAGCTAATCTGATCTGGAGAGGTGTTACTCTGCTGTGGCAGCCCTCTGGCAAAGCTCTGCAGTGGTGAATTGTAGAGCTGCCTAGGAAGTGGAGGATCAGCAGTTGAGCAAAAGAGCTCTTTGATTTACCTGGAGCACTTCTTCTAAAGTACCTGCACAGGTATTTGGGTGTGGCAGTGTGCAATGGGAGGCTGCGGGAAGTGGCGCAGGCCGAGGGACTTACTGGCTGCCACTTCCCGCAGCCCCCATTGGCCAGGCACCGCGAACCGCGGCCAGTGGGAGCCGCGATCGGCCGAACCTGCGGACGCGGCAGGTAAACAAACTGGCCAGGCCCGCCAGGGGCTTTCCCTGCACAAGCGGCGTCCCAAGTTTGGGAAACACTGATCTAGCTCATGTGCAGGGTGCATGGCAGTTTCCTATTTCTCCATAGCTCAACTGTTGAACTGAACTGCCATTCAGGAATGTGAGCCCTGCAGCTGACTGCAGTTATATGGCTGCAAATTCAGTCACGCAGAGAGGAACATCTGTCACCTAAATGCTGTGGGGACACGGGGAGGGAAGGGGTCTTAGTTCCAATATCATTCTCAAGAGCCCAATTATAATACACAAGTGATCAGGTTACACAGAACCACTTCAACTCCAAAATACATAATTCTGTATTCCATGGCCATTAGAAATGAACAAGGGAGGAGACAAACTTCAAACTCTTGATGCGTCTCCTAGTGTGGCACAGCAGATGTGCATGTCCTTTTTGGCTGGATCAAGCCCTAAGTTTCTGATCTGACCAGAGTTAACAAAATGTGATATAAATGCAGAACTACAAAGAACTGAAAATTATTTTACTAAAATGTTTATTATAAATCAAATTGATACTTTCTTACCATTTATGTCTCCAATTACCCATTTATTTGCCATCCCTTCAGGCTCATCAATGACAGTAAAAGAGAAGGGAGCACTATTTGGATAAGCATCTCGATCCTCAGCTGTAAAACTGAAGAATTTTGCATCTGAACACACAGTCTGTGCTGGAGTCACAATGGTTGGACAATTATCATTGGCATCCACAACCTGAATTACAATGGTACCCATGGCTGTTTTCTTAGAATAATCTGCAAATATAAACGTGAAAGCTTAAATTCTTGTGTGTGTGCAAAAAATTTTGCTTTTAAAAATATTTCATACTTTTTCCAGGATTATAAAAAGCAGTAATAGGAATTTAGGATCTAATCCTGCTTCCATTGAAGTCAATGGTAGTTTTACCTTTGATTTTAATGGGGTCAGGATTTAACTCTTAATATTTACAGAAATATCTGCAAGGTTATACTAAATCTACATCTATTTCTAAATCTAATACATTTTAAAAACTAAGTAAAACAGAACTATAGTTCAAAAGTACCATTACAAACAACAAATGAGATACAAAAAGAGAACACGAACCACATACTTCAAAAGACAAAGACCATGTATTTGAGAGTTCTTTTTGCATTGTATTCAAACAGCATAGGACTACTGAGACTTTTCAAATTTTCTACTCATAATACTGAGAGATTTCAACACTTCCACTTTGACAAGCGGTATTTCAATTAAGCCTGTTCTGGACACAAACATTTCTTGCAATGTAGTCCTATCAATAAATAGGTAATAGCCCCTAAGCAAAAAGGGTTTAGGATCAAATGACAGATTTAAAAAAAAAAACAACCAACCAACCAAATTCAAAACCAAATTTTACACTGTCAACAAAGCCTTTAGGTCAGATTCTGAGATGCATCTCTTTGGATATATCTATATTGCAAATGAAGGTGGGAATGCAGCCCGGTAGAATCATAGAATATCAGGGTTGGAAGGGACCTCAGGAGGTCATCTAGCCCAACCCCCTGCTCAAAGCAGGACCAATCCCCAGCTAAATCATCCCAGCCAAGGCTTTGTCAAGCCTGACCTTAAAAACCTCTAAGGAAGGAGATTCCACCATCTCCCTAGGTAACCCATTCCAGTGCTTCACCACCTTCCTAGTGAAAAAGTTTTTCCTAATATCCAACCTAAACCTCCCCCACTGCAACTTGAGACCATTACTCCTTGTTTGGTCATCTGCTACCACTGAGAACAGTCTAGATCCATCCTCTTTGGAACCCCCTTTCAGTTAGTTGAAAGCAGCTATCAAATCCGCCCTCATTCTTCTCTTCTGCAGACTAAACAATCCCAGTTCCCTCAGCCTCTCCTTATAAGTCATGTGCTCCATCCTTCTCGTACTGTGGGGCCCAAAACTGGACACAGTACTCCAGATGAGGCCTCACCAGTGTTGAATAGAGGGGAATTATATCCCACTACCCTCATTAACTTACACCTAGCAAAATTAACTATACAGCAGACAAACAATTAGAGAACCAGACGGATTAACAATAGAAAAGTAGGGGCCATAAAGATAAAATGTACAGAAATGAGGGTTTCACAACCACAACTATTGAGAAGTGATTTCTTGCCAGACAGGATGCTATCAAACTAAGTTTTCTTTAACATCTTTCTCTGGAGGTGATGGGCATTATCAGGACAGGATGGTATTCCGAACAGCCCAGTAGCACCTTATTTCAATGTGACCGTTCGCTTGCCAGCTTATGGCTGCCTCTGCTGCTTAGCCAAAGGCCTTAGCTGAAGAACAGGGCCTCAGACTGTCACAGTGAGAGAAGGCCCTTACACTGGCAGACAGTGATTTTGATTCTTTCTTTTGTACCTCTATAACTAGCTAAAGGATAAACATATACCTAAATTCTTAAAGTATCGGCCTTTACAGACAGGCCTGAAAAGCCCCAGCTCCTGGAAGCGTGTGATGAGGTGAGACTCTCGGCTTTCATTTTCTATGCAATGGAAGATTCTAGCCCTCTCGGCTGCAGAGAAAATCTAGAAAAAGTGACCCAAGTGCCACCTACAGGTCTGAGCAACCAAAACCCAAATAGAAACAATCTAATATTTATTATTATTACATTTCATAGAGTCATAGAAGATTAGAAAAAGACTTCAGGAGGGTCATCCAGTCCAATCCCCTGCTCAAAGCAGGACCAACACTAACTTCATGATTTTGAGGAGCCTGACTTGTGCTTTGTAAATGCAGGGGGTTGGCAATACTGTGCCACACTTCTAGTTTCCCCGGAGGTGCTCCACTCCTTTGCCCCCTAGGGCACATCATAGAATATCAGGGTTGGAAGGGACCTTAGGAGGTCATCTAGTCCAACCCCCCAACATCACTTAGGGCAGGCCAGGGGGTGGTCACTTAAGGAGAGGAGGAAGAGCAGGGGTGTGGCCACTGAGAGGGATCGGGCGGGTGCAGGTAACAGTGATAGAGAGGATGCGGTGGCATGAGCTAGTCTCCCAAAAAGAAGCCTGCCTGGTTATGTGCTTGTGTTGCTGGCCTGAGCCAGGGTGCATACTGCCATATCTTCACTGCTATTGTTATCTGTGCTAGCTAGATTAAAAACTGGTGCAGGTATGGCTACCTGTGCGACAATCATGCTATCATTTGCGGTTAGCCACACCTTTCAGAGGCACAGCACATAACTTGCAGACCAGTGGGAGGAAGTGCTATTTGGCTTTAAGCCACTTCTATACTTCCTGGATTCTGGACTGCTCTGGGGGGCCAGAACAGCCCCCAGCATAATTTAGACAGTCTTGGGGAACTGTCCGTGTTATGGCAACCTGTCCCTGGCTTTCTACAGGTGTAGAATCTTCACAGTGGTATGTGCTGTGGCCCCACCCCCACTTCAGGCCAGTACTTGCAAGGTCTCCCACAGTTTTTGTGCCAGGAAAATTCTCCCCAGTTGGAACTGTGGCTTTCAGAACCCCTTTTTGCTGCTCCTACCCTTTTACCTAGCATACAGGGGTCAGAGTGGGGTGGGAATCTCACACTTTAATCATCTTGCAAAACAGCTACAAAAAGGAAACAAATCAAAATGTTGAAATAAAACAATGTACAGAATTTAGAAACCTTTTTATATTTATATGTGGTGTTAAAAATAACAGCAAAAACTTCTTCCAGACACATTTCCAGAATGCATAAGGACTTCAAACTGAACAAGGAAGTGACCATAATATACATAAACATTGCAGCCAAAGGAGCCCTGCCTGCTTATGCCAGAGAACCTGACCTTTACACTATTAAGGATTAGACTATACAGCCCTTGCATGTTGGTGAGCATTTGCTTTCATTTTCATGGGAGTGCTCATCAAGAGAAGGCTGTAATATTTAGCCCAGGGATCGGCAACCTTTGGCATGCGGCCCTTAGGGTAAGCCCCCTGGCGGGTTGAGCTGGTTTGTTTACCTGCAGGTTCGGCTGATCGCAGCTCCCACTGGCCATGGTTCGCCACTCCAGGCCAATGGGGGCTGCGGGAAGCGGCAGCCAGCACATCCCTGGGCCTGCGCCACTTCCTGCGGCCCCCATTGGCCTGGAGCGGCGAACCGAGACCAGTGGGAGCTGTGATCGGCCAAACCTGCAGACGTGGCAGGTAAACAAACTGGCCCGGCCCAGCAGAGGGCTTACCCTGGCGGGCCGCATGCCAAAAGTTGCCGATCACTGATTTAGCCTGAAATGGGTACTGATCAGATGGTAAGACTACTCTCTTGCTGTGCAACATTAGGGTCAGGCCTCAGCAATACAAAAAGCTTGTAAAGAAAGGTTTATGAATACACAGGACATGACATCTAATGCCTCACAACTTACCATTAGGTATGGCCAGAATGTTGACGGTGTAGGTACCATTAATTAAATAAGATGACTCATAATCAGGTATTTTTATTAGCTTGATTTCAGCTGTAGTAGAATCTATCATAATCCAATTATCTTCATCATTTCTTTTGACATATCTGTTAGAATTTTTTTTAAAAAAAAATCAAATTATAATGAGCAAGACAACCATGGGGGCTGAAGCTGCTTTGCACGCACACACACACACACATCAAATATTTGCTCTACACCACTGTATCTGCATGTTCATGGGATTTCTATAGGTTTCATCCTAAATTTAAGTCCACAGTCTGAAACCAAAAGTGTCATTGGTATACTTGTAGATTTACTAAATGGATACATCAATACAGACTGTTTCTGTAGGGAGATGCACTTCTCATCATATGAACTAACACAAAACCAAATTATTTAAAAATTAAAAAGTCCATACTTTTATATTACAGTATAAATGAGATGGGTATTCTACATAAAACCCTGTAGAATACCCATCTCATTTATACTGTAATAATTATTAGACACATCTATCAAACAGCATGACTATGAAATAATTTCAGCCTAGTGATTGTTTGATACAAAGATTTAATATTACATTCTATAAATGGCAACGTTGCTAATTAATAAAAATATGATGCTTACGTGATATGTTCTGCTACTTTTGAAGTGTCTTCATCATAGGCTTGATATTTCCCAATAATCTGGTTTATAGTCATAGTCTCATGTGTCTCAATCACCATTGTGTGGGGTTTGAATACAAGGCCCTCTGGAACATTTTTTACCTTAATCGTTACTGGAATTGGTTTTACTTTGTAGGTACTACTAATTGATTTGTGAAATGCTGCTTTATTTGTAACGACAACGCTCAAGTTCATGCTTTGTATTTCCTCATAATTGATCTCCTGCAACAAGCGCACACACACACAGACACAGACACAAAAACAAACTTCACTCAAAAAGTAAACACAGAATTTGACATTGAAATAATGTTTAAAAGTTCAATCTTTAAAAACATTTTCTTTGTCAAAAAAATGAATGGATTAAGGCTAGCTAAAGGTGCCCGATTGACGGCACCCGAAAAAATAAGTATTATTTAAACTTGTCAAGTCTCTTTTCAATATATGTCAGGTATATCAAATAGTATACAGAATAAGGATACAATATCTTGTTATTTGTATGGATAAACTAAAAGTAATAGCTTCAGGTTGCTGACTTTGGAGAGAACACTATCTTCTGGCCTTGGGGATGGACTCTCGCTCCGTGCGTCACAATTGGAAAAAGGATGTAGAATGCACCAGTTTCAGACTAGCTGTCATATATTCTAGCTTTTGCCCTCTAATCATTATCATATTTAGCACTCAAAGTGCTTTTCATCTGTAGGTCTTAAATCACTTTATAAAAACATAGTTAAGCATTGTTACCCACAAATTAAAGAAAGGGAAACCAAACCACAGAGATATAAGACCTGATATGCTGAGAGTTGCTGAGCATCCTCAACTCGTGTGGACTTTTGGGGAAACTGAGGATGCTCAACAGCCATAAAATCAGGCTCTAAAATGATTTACCTGATGTCACACAGAGAATCAATGACAGAGTTAAGAATGGGACCCAGGTCTCCTAAACTGAAGGGAAACATGCTTTCCTTTGTTTTTATACTCTGTACATACAATTACTCAGTACATCGAGATAAAATATAGAAATGGAGGAGTGTTCCACCAGTACATTATTTGCCATTCACATGCTGGTAGAATGTAAATCATTTTCGTTAAAATTAATATCCAGTGTAATTTATTCTAATATTTAAAAAAGTCTCGTTATGATTTAAAAAAAGAAAGAAAGAAAAAAAAGACACTCTACAGTATACACTTACCTTCACAAGAGTCAAAACTCCTTCATTTGTTTGAGCATCTGTCTCTATATGGAAATAATCCCCTTCATTCCCAGAGGCAATTGTGAAGTTTGCCAGCCAATTATCAGAGAATTTTTCATCTTTGTCAAATACTTTCAGTCGCATAATTTCCACATTTGCTCTGTTTTCCTCGACACTGCCTTCATACTGCAATCATACAACATGGCTTTTAAAAAATGTTAAATCTACTCTAGTTCACTGTGGCAAAATGAGTCCTTTGTGTGCCATGTGATAGTAAATTACCTGTTACTATCAGACATAGGAACATACAGAAGCTGTTAAACAAACAAATACTTACTGTCTGCCTTTCAAGAACAGGAATATTGTCATTGACATCCAAAATCTTGATTTTTACAGTACAGTTTGTAGCTAGCCCAATTTGTTCTCCATCTCTGTCTCTTGCTTCTACAGTCAAAGTGTAGCTACTTTGTTCCTGTGTCACATTCAAAAAATAAGTGTTTAAATCTATACAGAAACCAATTACAAAATATTTTTTGCTCCAGTACATTATCTCTATTATTTCATTGATACGGAATGGCTGACTATGGCAGTATGTTTAATTAATATTAAATTTCATTCATCATAACCATCCTGATAACTGAATTGTTCCACCAGAGTCCTGAGCTCAGGAATGCACTTAGCATTTTCCCAAATAATTGAGTAAATGGAGGGTGGAAAGAATTTGAGAAAGATAAAAGAAACAAGAACAACCACCCCAGCACAAAGGGCTTTGGGAATTTTATGATTGTCCTTTAATTGGGATTAGGAAATGGTCACTCCATAACTGGAGGAAAGGGAAAGTTAATGAATATTATATATGATAAAATAATTATTGTTAAATTATTACACACAGATTACAGAAATTAGTAAAGGTTTAGACTAATAGTTTAGTTATTTCCCTTCAGTTTTTAGTGAACTTCATGATTATGGTACCCATGAAAATGTCAGACTGATAGTACTGGCTAGAGCTAGGCCTGCTATAAAGGTAGAATGTACAAAGGGGCTTAGGTGCCTACGTCCCCTTTTTAGGTGCCACCGTAAGCCACAAAACTCCTACTCAGCTGCTGCCTAATGCTATAGGCACCTTAAGTCTATTGGCATTTAAGCTTTTGGTGCAAAAGTTCCCTAGGTGCCTACGTTTCTGCCTCTGGGCATGTACACTGCTGCCTCACTCTAGGCACCCAGGCGTCTGTCTCCCCACTATGCCCCAGAGTGATCCACAGATGAGGGAAAATACATATGTTCTTCCACCTAAATTGTATGAGGGGCCCAATCCAGTAAGCGTGCCGAAAGCCCACTTAACTCCACAAAAAACAGATGGGGGAAGGAAAAGAGGAGGACCTCCTTTATAACCGTTAGCCCAGTGGTTAGGGTACTCATCCAGGATGTGGGAGGCCCTCCATTCAAGCCCCTTTCTGCCTGATGAGGTGAAGGGAATTGAACAGGGGACACCGGGCCAATACTCCCCTCCCCTGTGCAGTTGAGGACAACTGGGTAAGCAGAGCCTTAACTCTTAACCCCCCAAAATGCACCAGCCAGCACAGCTGAGCAGACACAAAGGGAGAAAGCCGATGTAGGAAAAGGGCTAGACCTTCAGTTCCAGGAGGGCCATGGAGATGGAGGTTGGGGGTCAGAAGATCTATGTATCCAATCCTCACCTAGTGGGCAGGATGAAGCAGCAATGAGGGAAGAGAGTTGAAAGAGTGTTGTTAAAACTCTGGGAAAGAGCCAATATAAGACAGTAGTTTACCTCTCTGTCAAGGTATAACATTGCTGTTACAACCTCACCGGTGGTTTTCTTAATACTGAATGCAGGTGGCAGAGAAGAATCTTGAAGAATCTTGAAAGCAATTCTGGAATTTAGATTATTCGGCTCATCTGCATCGGTTGCTTTTATCCTCATCACAAGTGTACCTGAGAATTAAAAAAATTATATATAGAGAGAGATTTATATTGCCCTTGTTCATGTATTGGCAAGTATCATTTATAGAATACAAAATGGAGAGTTTTCAGACCCATTTAACTGTTTTGTGTTGTACTTCTAATTACTGTTTTTATTAAGAGATGGAGAAATGTCTTATTTTTATTTTTTAACACTATGTCATTAGATAGTATGTACAACCAAACAAATGCACATCATGGATATACATACTACAACCTCAGTATGACAAACGGCCTAATATGGGTGGTCTTTACCTAAAAGTTTTTAAAAAATGATAGAAACTTCATGGGTATAATTTAATACGAACAGAAAACAGACAAAAAAGTCCTTTTAAATTATCTGCCCTACCTCCCATGCCTGACTCTCAAACTGGTTGCTTGATGAAAACAGTCCTTTGACCATCATGTACATTTGCCACTACCCTCTGTTGGCTACGGTCAGAACTACTCATTTATATATCATAGGATTTATAGTGCTAGCATATAATGGAAAGTCTCTTAGCTCAAGTGACAGGAGTCTGTCCTTTTGAAGAAGGCGGATCTTAGTTCAAACTGGGGTCTCTAGTTAGACACTTAAATCTATATTTAATTTTGCCTGAATCCTACCTGATTTTCAAAGCTGATCACTAAAGAGCTCCCATTTGAATTGAGGGAGCTCAGCACCTCACAAGAGCAGACCCTCAATAACCTCTTCCATATGATCACCATCAGGCTAAAATAGATACAGTATAAAAGATTTATCAAGCTGTTTTCCCAACACTCCTTTCTTAACTACTGACAACAGATGTTTTCACCTCCCAGAGGCCTGATTTGAAACCACTGAAGTCAACAGACAGACTGTAATTGACTTCAATGGGCTTTGGATGAGGCCAGCATTTGGTAGGGGTGAAATATTCCTCTCTAAACCACAGTTAAACATGCAAGTGAATATGCTTTGCTTGATGAACTGAAATGGGAATGAGGGTATGTGATCCACTCCTGAAAGCTGAACCGGAATGGGGCTGCAATCCCACACACTCCTTATAGGGTTTTGTGGTCACTGGATACGGGTAATCTCAGACGCAGTGACCATTTACCTACTTGCCTAGCTGTATATGCTGGGCTATGCAATGCTCATGAGGAGTCCAGCTGCAGCATCACAGGGGTGCGTGGAGTTCCCCTGCCTACTTGCTCTTCAGCCACCCTCCCAAATCACCACTTGAATGTCCTGAGGCCTTTCCACAGCCCACATTATCATGTGTCAGTTTGATTTACTATAGGATCAGCTACAAGCATTGTCTTTGGGGTGAGATCTGAGGTACAAATTGATCTGGAGTAAGTGACTGGTCTCTTAGGACTGGAAGCGACCTGAATCTTTTGTGATCTTTGGTGTACAGCAACGAACTATCACCAGTCTATCTTGCCACCCAGGCAAGCTGGATGGAAAGATAAACTGGAGTGTCTGTAACTCTATGGTAAGACTGTTACAGTGTTTCAGGAGCTCACATTTGTTATGGAGTTGTGAAATCTAATTTCAATCCAATCCGTTTGGGGTGTCTGCCCTGCTTTTTGACAGTCTGCTCTGAGGTTGGCACTCACAGTTGTGAACCACTCCAGACAGAATGACAGTGCTATCTGCTGATACAAAAGTGTCTGTGGTCACGGGAAAGGTTTTGTGCTACACTGCAGGCTTAATGAAGCAAGAATCCCTATTGCTTTTCAGTATCTGTTGGACATGGACATGAAAGCCTTATGTAGTGTTAAGAGTGCTATGGGCTATATGAAGTGATAAGGAATGCAGGAGACTTTTCCTTTAAATTATTTCCATGCTTTTCAGGTTTTGAGTTGGTAGGGTGTGTCCCGATGCAACCTTAACTGTCACTAAAAAAGTTTGTGTCTGTTTACTTTCAAGAGTCTTTTTCCTGAGAGAATAAGTAAAATCAAATATACTGCTCTAGGTAGGAAGTGATGAAAAGCATACCATACAGGACTATTATAAAAAAGTAACGACAGGAGAGGTTAAGTGACCACATAGCACCATTATTTAATATGTTAATACAATTAGAAAAATAGTATTTTACCTGATTCACTTAACTCTTCAACAGAGCCAATAAAAACTTCCTCTGAAAACACTGGGTAATTGTCATTTATATCCTTAACTTTAATTCTCAGGTCTATTGGCTCTTCCACTTTTTTCCCATTCTGATCATGTGCATGACCTTTAAGCTGAAATAGACAAATAAATAACGGGAAAATAGGAATATCCATGTTGATAGAAATTGTTAATTATCACTTTGCATTGGAGAAAAAGTCAAGAGACATTAAAACAAAAAGATGGCAATTAATTTGAAAAGTTAAAGAGAGAGCACATATAGAAAAAAGAAAGTTATAGCCCACTAATTCAACTTACATTGAACATTGGAGTTTTTTCTCGGTCAACTCTTCTTGTTATGTTCAGTTCTCCAGTTTTTCCATTGATAACAAACAAACCATCGGTCACTCCTTGGCCAGAAATTGAGTAAGTAATTACCACTCCTGGATCGTCTGCATGATCAGAACTTATCTAACAGGAACACAACAGAGTTAATTGCACTCAGTAAATGGAAGTTCTTTAAAAAAACATATAGAAACATACTATGGACAACAAGCAAGATATATATTTGTATGTAGTAGTACATGCCCTTACTATGTAGAGGAAGCTACGCTGCATTCGCTTTAATTTTCAGGAAAAATGTTTAAAAAAGGACAAGAAAAGATGTTACTCATATTTTTACAATAACTAACTACAAAATTAAGGGCTAGCTTTTGCCTGTCCCTTCTTTAGGTGCAAAGAGGTAGTGAAGGATGCAAGGAGCTCAAATCTCACATGTCTTGTGCAAGGACAGAGTGCAGATACTATTCCTTCCTACCATACCTGAGAAGCACAAACCACACCAAAGGGGGTGTGGAAGAGGAAAATCACGGCCTCCCCCACCACTCTGTAGTGATTCTCAGTACCAATTGGGTATGCCACAGTGAACGTACTGTACCATCATTAGGATTGTAGCAATTTTGTGCACTTTGCTGTGTATCTGGGAGCCTCCTGAGGGCATGTCTACCCTTACCTCTGGAGCGATCGATCCAGCAGGGGTCGATTTATCACATGTAGTGAAGACGCGATAAATCGACCGCCGAGCGCTCTTCCGTCTACTCTGGTACTCCACCGGAGCAAGACGCGCAGGCGGAGTCGATGGGGAAGCATCAGCAGTCGACTTATTGCAGTGAAGACACCATGGTAAGCAGCTCTAAGTACGTTGACTTCAGCTATGCTATTTTCATAGCTGAAGCTGCGTAACTCAGACCAACTTAGCTCGTTCGCCCCCCCCACTGTAGACCAGGCCTGAGACATAATTCCTCTCAGAGCTGCACCTACAATGCAAATTATACAATCTGGTCCTAAAACATTTGCTTTATGTCATTATAGGCAGGGCTGACAGCACCGTCTATTATTAAGATTGCCCAACACTTCCTATTATAAGATCCTCTTTTCAATTGCTATAGCTTTGCCAAACTTAAACCATTTGGCTAAAATTCTTCATGCTGGGTGTTTTCATCAGGCTGAATTTTTTTTGAAAGTTTCCGCCAAAACAGTTCAGCCATTTCTGAGAACATGGTTGGGAAAAGTATTTTGCAATATTTAAAATGTTCTAAGGATGCATTTTTGAATAGATCTAGTGCCCTCATGCTACGGACCAGGGGCATAAAATTTGATATGAAGGGTTGTTTTTATGTCAAGAATATGCCTTTTGCAGTTCTTATGAAAATCTGTCTAAATTTGGCCAAGTAAAAAGCCTTTGAAAAACATCAGTTCATGCCTATGCTCAGTAGACACTTCTTAGAGTTTAGTAGCTGAATCTTCTGAAGATTCCAGACTTAATGTGCATGTTTCATCCTCTCATGGTTCCTATGTATGGTGGAGTATTACCATGTGCCATCACCACAGAATGACTGAGCATGTTCTGATAGCCCAGCGCTAAAAGGGCAAAGTCAGACTTCCCTTGTAATTAATACTCCGGGCTGGGATCATGCTGGGCACTGTAACTGAGAGAAGAGAGCCTGGCTTTCCTGTGCTTTCAATGACCATCCCCTGCTGGCACGGGCAAGGCAGGGAGCCTGGGTGCGGGGGGAGGAAGCAGGAAGATTGGGACTTCTTGGTCAAGAAGACTCAGAGCTGGTGAGGGGATGACTGGAAGCCAGTTGGTGGGCGTGGGAAAACACTAAGATCAGATGAAAAAACTGGGAAACAGGGGAAGATCTGGAACTGGCTGGGCAAGAAGACAGACTGGGAGGAGAGGTGGAGACTGGGACTCGGATGGGGAGCCTGGAGTGGGAGACAATAGTGACTGAGCAAAGGGCTTGGGATGCGAAACCTGATAAGTGGAGACCGGGATAAGGACATGGTTGGGGTGGGAAAGAGAAAAGTTTGACTAGACAGGACACAAGTGGGGAGGGAAGGAAACAAGAAGAAGGGTCTACATTTACCACAGCACACCTCCCTCCAGAGACCGAAATGGAATCCAAGATTGATGAATCTTACCAGTCCTCTGCTGTTAGCAGATATCTGTGAATGCCACTGTCAAATGTGCGTTTCATTCCCTTGTTGTTCTGATCCACACACAGGATGAAAAACTATTATTGCTATCAGTTACTCCTTTAGCTCAAGTGCCTGAGAACTGTGCAAGTGGATCTAAAGATTCCAGTCCTGCTGTTGTCATTATACCACATGATGGAATTTCTGTTTCGGATGTTTGCTTTTTTAAAAACCTAAGAAATTACATGCTAAGGCTGCAAAGTCAAGCACTCAGAAGTCAGAAAATGCTCCCCGAGTGTACGCGTTATGACAGTATTTAATTACATCATCATATTTTTTCCATAGGACCACTGCCTCATTCAATGAATAAGACAGACCTGCTCTAAGGATGACTCAGGGTAGAGAAGTAGGCTGTAGAACTGCTTCCTCATTTGTTGTGGAAGTTGAAAAGTGCGTAGTGAATGAGGCAGGGAACTGCACGAAAAGAATTGAGGATCTCATGGATAAGGCAGTTGGATGTTGCCCTGGAGAACTGGATTCTGCTCTTCCTTCTGCCACAGACTTCCTATGTGATGCTAACCAAGTCACCTAAAACAAGTTTTTCACTCGTGGCCACTAACCGTGCATTCCTCATTTTCTGAGTGCCCAACTTGACACTGTGAATTCTGATTTGCAGCAGTGCTGAGCACTGACAGCTGTAACTGAAGTCAGTATTATATAGCAATCAACTCCTATTAAGTACTCTGAAAAATTAGGTCTTACGCATCTTAAGTGGAGCACCCAAAACATGAATACTTTTGATTTTAATCTCTCTGTGCCTCTGCGCCTCTGCAGCCCATCTGTAAAATGGGGATATCACCCCTCCACACAAACACCTCACAGAGGGTTATGAAGATTGATTAATCAATCTGTTTGTGAAGCACTCAGATACTCCAGTGATGAGCACCATATAAAAGTCCAAAGGAAAATTAAAAATTCCTTCTTCAGATCAGAGTTTGAACAGTGTGCAGTAAATAAGACCTGAGGCCACATATTTAATAATGAGTAGGGACACACACACACACACAGTTCATTAATAAAGCACCAACCTTCCTGTGCACTGAATGAGGCTGGGTCATGTGCAAAAAATACTATTTGATCAGATAATTAAACACTGTATCATAATGCATACACAGAAGGCAGGAGGGGCAAATTAAGGTTGCACAAGCAACCTTACTTCTGGCATTTCCTAACTTGCAGTGATTGACTTTGTAATGTTAACATTCTTTTAACATAGTTTTTTTTACAGGTAATGTGAGTATAAACTTTGTGAACTAAGAAGAAAAAAAAATAGGTAAAAATTGAGGCCAACCAACATTAAACAGTGTCCACAGACACCATTTTTTTTTTAAAAAAAACCCCCACTCTTAAAGAAACACTGTAAAATAAAGGAACTTGATACATATACTAAGTACTGCACAGATAAAGTTGTTCAGATGTTGTGTAGAACCTACAGCAACGGTTACATTTGTTTGATTTTTAGTTATTTATTACGTATTATTCATTGTTGAACAGATACATTGGTGAAGAAAACCCCAATTTTGTAAGGCATAAGAGTAACAGTTACTGTTGGCCTAATCCTGCAAAGCATTCATGCTCAAAATTCCATTTTGGGGATCATTGCCAAGGTAACATTTTCTTTAAATTGCTGGCTTAAAGAACTGGAGGGTGGTTTTAACAGTGTGTGTGTGTTTAGAGTAGGCCCCAGCTATATTTTACATGCAACAATGTACTTTCAAAAATGTTTCCCCATCTTACTGTGTTCCAGCTGTTCTCTGACTTACTTTAGCAATTGGATTAATCTTCAAATTGTCATCCTCTTCTGAAATCATAGCAGGTGGGACAACCCATTCCCGCTTTTCTCTGATTTTACTATTCTGATTAGACAGATTATCATTTTTGGCAGCTTGATTAAAAACCTAAGAAAAAAGCAGGTTTAAATTCCAACATTACATTTTAGCCATTAAACACTAACACTCTTCTCAATTGACCACTGCTGTGCCTAGAACTTCTGGATGCCATTTTTCACATGTAATTTTAATTAAACAAGCTGATTGTTTAAATTTACACTCTGATTTTACTGTAGATTTTTTTTTCCCTAATAAGTATGCTTTATTTTAATGGTAAGGGTCAGACTCTTCCCTGAAAACCCACGTAAGAAGGAAATGTGTCTGTTTCTTTTAAACACTCACTTAAAAAGGCCAGGTTTAAAATAAACAAATATAAATTATGTGACAACTGGGAATTAGTCAAATCTCTCAGAATGGGTGTGAATTAAAGTGGTAGCTATCAGATCAGAGGAGAAAGTTATCTATGCAGTCCATTTTAAAGAGCTGAGGCCTCTCACATTTCCTTGTTTGCCTTCCCCTCAAACCTCCCTCACCCCCATCAAATGACCTCCATCTTCTCTCTTTACTGCTCCTTCCACCCTGTCCATAGAGCCTCACATCCATCCTCCCACTGGCTCTTTGTCATCCACCCTTATGTTATAATCTTGTCAACCCCAGAGACTTGCGAACTACTTGCTTCCACTACCTTATCCTCTTTCCCATGGAAACCCACCTGTTCTCTCCAACTGTTTGGCTTACTCAGTGCAGCGGCTCTCAGTATCCAGATTCAGATTTGGGATGGGATTCATGACAGAGTCTTAGGTGCCTAAAATGGCAGCTAGATGCCTAAATCCAACATACAGACACCACTGGCATTCACAAAACCACTGCTTAGCTGCTGCCTATTCCTGGAGGTGCTTAAACTCCTTAGGTACCTACGTTTCCTCCATTAAAGTCCCAGAGGTTCCTAAATTTTGGTTGCTGAGCATGAAGACAGCTCCCTAATTCGACACTGCTGAGAAATTTGGTTCCTTACTCGTGCCTAAGCCCCACTGGGACTCTCAGACTAGGTGTTCCTCCACTGTCTTGCTTTCAGGGCCCGGTGCAGTAGGAATGCTCTGTGCATACCTAAAACTGCATAAAAGATGGTGGTGGTGCAGTGCCTGAGTCCCCCGTGTGACTCTTACCTTGATACCAGCCAGAAACTAACAGTCACTACCATTAACTCAGAGAATCTCAAAGTTGATTCATCACAATCATAATATTCTAGGGAAGTTTTCTCCCAATGGAAAATAGCATTAATGTTGATGGGTTTAGGACTAGGCCTATCCAATTATATTTCTGCAGTAAGCAGTAGATATGACTTTTGTGTTGTGTCTACATCAAAGCAACTCAAGCTATTTACCAGTTATAAGTAAAGTGGTCTTTTCTTGTTTACTGTTTGCTCAGAAAACCTTTTCTACACATGGACATTGTAGTTATTTCTCAACCATTGCCTACCTCTAGGTGAAGTCCATTTCCAAAGTTCAAACAGATCTGTCAAATAAATGATATAGTCAATGTTATTCATTCTGCATCTGTTTAGTAGCATTAAGGTACAGTTTATACAACCACACCCAAAACAAACTTCAAAATATAAAAAACAAGTAACAGTCTGATATTGCAAGGCAGGGTGGATTTGATTTAAATCACTAGTCAGGAAGACTCAATTTAATCATATATTTCTACATAAAAGTGCATTCTTTTTGGTTGTTATAACCTTAATACATGTTCTTCAGAACTCAGAGATAGATGTAGACTTCATTTTTAGAAGGTACACACTACAAATTTTTTAAGTGATTTATTTTGAAAACTTTTCAGATTAGTTTTACAGCTATATCAGAAAATGGTAAATGAAATAACCAAACAATCATTCAAAGGTAATTGAAGCAGATATTTATGAAGTCACTGGGTGAACTACTTCCAATTCAACAGGTTAATCATTACTATTTGGAGGATTTTCTTGCCATGCTGTATGAGGAGGAGATCATCATCAGACAGACATTTAAATAGTTTTATTTAACAAACAAACAAACAAACACACACGTTATGTTTTCTGGATTTTTTCTTCAACAGCAAACATATAATATTTTAACAAAACAAGCATATGAATTTTTGAATTTAGTTAAACATTCAAGGTTTTTTTAAATCAGGTTTGTTTTTATTAAAATTGTTTTTAACTAAAATAGTTAAATGAATTTAAAAAATAACAAAACAAAAATTAAATCGACTGTGTCAGCCAAATCAACATGAAAAACTTAAAATATTGGCTTCTGCAGCTAACTCAGTCGTCTTCACCTTCATTTTCCTGTTTGTTCATAATCTGCAAAAGGAAAAACAAGTTTTTGTGCTTTTTCAGGTCCCAAACCATTTCTTGATTTGGAATGAATTAGTCCAAAGGAAGAAAATATTCTTTCTACAATGGCTGAAGAAGCTACTGCTGTTAAAAGTGAGATTATCACTTCAACAGTCTCTGAATCCAAGTGCTTAAGTGACTTCCACCAGTTCACAGGTGTGACTTTCTTTAAAACATCATCAGCAAACATATATTTCTTGAATGGTTCACCCTTAGCTCTGAAGTTTATTAGAGTTGACATTATGGAGGGATGATTGCTGGATGTCCATGTCATAACCAACTCCTCTTCTTCAGCAGTTAAGGTTTGACCCTGGTACCAAGTACTGAGAATATCTGCAAGAAAATGAGCTGAAGATAGGGCTTGTCCCATTTGTTTTTTTAATGCTTGTAATTTAACTCTGTCATTGCAGATTTCTCTTTTTAAGATCTCACCCAGTTCCTTCCAAATTTCAACAGCATAAGCAATAAAACAGCTATTTCCCTGCATTTTGTTCAAGGCTACAGAAATAGGCTTCAGGGTACTCAGCATGTGTTCAACACTTCTCTTCAGCCCAACGTTGAGAACTTTGGCTGTGAAAGTGTCATCTATTTTTTCATGATTTTGTTCACAAACTGCCATCAGATTAGGCCAGTTCTTGATATATTGCTCAAAACATTCCACTACTGAGTTCCATCGCATGTCTTGTGGGAGAGTTAGCTTGGTTCCTCCCACTTTTTTCAGAGCAGCTGCTGCAAAGTGGTTGTTATGGAAGTATTTTGCAATTTCAACAACATTAGCCTTTATTTCTGGAACACTGAAGTCTTTGGCTAGGAGGTGTATCAAATGAACACTGCAATTGTAGGTTATTAGCTTTGGACTCTCTTCTAAATAATTTCTTCTCATCTTGGATACATTTGGAGCATTGTCTGTGACCAAGCTGCGTACTACACATTTGAATTTTTTTCCATAGTTTGTTATAGTTTTTACTGCAACTTCTTGTAAGTATTCTGCTGTGTGAGCATTTCCTGATGTATCAATTGTTTCTGTAAGGAAGACATTCCCTTCTTCTGTCGTCACACAAGCACATAAAACAGGATCATTGTGGACATTGCTCCACCCATCAAGACTCAGGTTAATAATTTCACTCTCTAGACATTTTGCACACTGCTCAATTTCTTTCATACACTTTATCCAGCAATTTGGCCTATGACATCTGCTCTCTTGGGTGGACTGTATCCTGGTCTTAATGACTGAACCATGTTAATGAAGTGTGGGTTCTCCATCATATGGAAAGGAAAATTTGTTGCATAAACAAACCGGGCAATTTTTTCATCAATTGCCTCTTTTTGTAATCTGCTGGTTCTTATCACAAACTTATCTATGGTTGGTTCTAGATAATGGAGATTTTTTTCTTTTTGCTACAGGTGATATACTGTGGCTATGTGACATACATGATGTGACTGAAACACTATCATTGGCAGATAACTCTGAAACTATAGAAAATGATGCTGATCTTGAAGGTTTATAGTCTTCAGAATCCTGTATGTTGAGGATGGATTCTCCTAAACAAAATAAGTCAATGCAGTTATTATTATTACCATACTGCTCATTTAGTATTACTCATTGTAATCACTGACACTCAGTACTACTTTAAAGGTGAAATTGTAAAAGGAAGATCTGCCTATTTCAGCTATTTATTTTTTATCACAACTGCATCTAAAATGCTAGTACCATAGAGTAACTACATTTTTTGCTCAAACATGAGAATTCAAGAATAGTCCAGAAGGAAGACAGGCAGTCCTTAAAAAAGAGGTATGAAATAAAAAAAGTTTACCAACCTCAAGATCCTGCATGTTCAGATATGTTCCTTTCATCTTCAGCGCAGCTTCCTCCTGAGATGGAACGCTTCTCATGATGTTGTTTCATTCGGGCAAGCAGGCCTTGCATTTCTTTGTTGCACTGTTTGCATTTTGCACGCAAGCCTGTCTTACCCACAGGTAGAGGAACTTCATTAAAATATTCCCAAACTGGGTCTCTTTTACGGACTGCTGCCATTATAGCTTTTCCCTTCTAGTGAGAGAATGGTATGGTAGATCACAGATCAGTGAAGGCTACACTCAGAAAGACCTCAAGACTTCTGGAATATGCTGCTCAAACACTTTCACTTTTGTTTCTACTGCCTGTTCCTCTCTTCTCACATTTATCTCCAGACTTCTCCTTGTCCAGATCTATTCCACCCCCAACAATCTTCTATTCATTGAACTTTTTGAAACTTTCCATTTTTAGAGAGAGGTAAGGGATTTACTCTGTGTACACAAATTTGCATAGAGATAATAGGGTTGAGGTCTATTATTTCTCACCTCTATATATTATTTATTTATTTTAAAACAGTTTTGCTGTTAACAAGCATGTTATCTCTGGAGACAAAAACCCACAGTTTGAGAACTGCAAAACTAAGCATCTGTGATGGTATCTTCTAGACGGAGTACTGAGTCCCATTGAGTAGACAGAAAGATTAACCTAACTAATCTATACAGAAGCCGTCGGAGCCCCATAAGATTGGGTCCCTAATCCATGAACTATTGGAACTCATTTACAAAACTTTTCTTAAACATTACATGAATATATTGTCTCATACTATAGAATTAGAATTTATAATTCCTACTCCATGATGAGATATCTTTGAGCTATAGTGTATCTTAATTAAAACTATCTTTAGATAAGTTTTTTCCTCAAAAAGCATTTTATCAAAAAAATCACTTTTTATCCACCCTCACTGCAAGTCATTTAGGTGCTTTTGAAAATTTTACGCACAGTCTATAAGGTATACAAATATTTTATAATTAGAAAATTAAATAAGGTTAGGATCTTTGCAAGCCTTTATTTTAAGAAAGCAAGGAAGCAAGCAAGAATTCTCTTTTTCTTATGCATAAGTGATCACCTCTTGGTTCAACAATAAGCCAATGGGAGCCTTCTATTGACTCAGACGGGTGTAGGATCAGGCCAATAATGCTGAAACTAGCAGTATTAGGGTGAAACTTTGTCTCTCCTGGAGTACCTCTGCTCTGTTAGGCCTTGGATCATGTAGGAGCATCAAAAAGGTTTCAGGTAATGTCTTAAAGCAAGGATATATCAAAATAACTTCATTTATATTTATGAAGTGAAAGAGGTAATTCTGCGCCTAGAAACCTTTACAGTAATAGCCTTCAGCTCCATGCCCTATACTCTAAAATGTATTAGATATTTTTTCCAAACACACGTGTCTACAGTGTGTGCACAGTTCAAGGGAACTGCACCTGTATTCCCCCTCTGTGATCCCTTAAGCGCACCACTGTAGATTCCCAGCGCCTCTCTTGGGCTAAGGCCTTAGGAGAAGCTTAGCTCCCCTAGAACAAACCATGCTATTTCCAGGGCCTCAGACGGATCAGTCGAGATTCACAACATTGGTGAGGCTGCTCACCTGGTATATTTGTTATACCTCACCTGGCGCTGGACTCCATCTTGGGATGTCAGTATTTTAAAGAATCCTTATTGAGGTTACAGGGACAAACCATCCCGATGTGTAGAAAGAATAGTAAATATGGCAGGCGACCAGCTTGGCTTAACAGTGAAATCCTTGCTGATCTTAAACACAAAAAAGAAGCTTACAAGAAGTGGAAGACTGGACAAATGACTAGGGAAGAGTATAAAAATATTGCTCAGGCATGCAGGAGTGAAATCAGGAAGGCCAAAACACACTTGGAGTTGCAGCTAGCAAGAGATGTTAAGAACAAGAAGGGTTTCTTCAGGTATGTTAGCAACAAGACAAGAGTCAAGGAAAGTGTGGGCCCCTTGCTGAATGAGGGAGGCAACCTAGTGACAGAGGATGTGGAAAAAGCTAATGTACTCAATGCTTTTTTTGCCTCTGTCTTCACAAACAAGGTCAGCTCCCAGACTACTGCACTGGGCAGCACAGCATGGGGAGGAGGTGACCAGCCCTCTGTGGCGAAAGAAGTGGTTCGGGACTATTTAGAAAAGCTGGACGAGCACAAGTCCATGGGTCCAGATGCTTTGCATCTGAGAGTGCTAAAGGAGATGGCGGATATGACTGCATATTGGCCATTGGCCATTATCTTTGAAAACTCATGGTGATTGGGGGAGGTCCCGGATGACTGGAAAAAG